TCTGATGGGAAAAGTCGTGAAGCGTGTGAGCGGGAAGTGCGAGAAATTAAGGAGCGCATGAATAAGTGGACTTGGCCATGGCGCGCTGCGAATATACCAGAAAATCTGGAGGATATTAACTCCACCATGATGCAAATTAGAGAAAGTCTCAGTGAATCTGAAGAAATTATCAACGCCAGCAGAGAGGCACACAAGATTGTTCTTGAGCTTGTGCTTCCGCTCATACCAAATACTCGCCAGAGTGTCGCTAACCAGCTACGGGAGATCAATGCCAAGATTGTAGGAAATGACGAATCCACCGCCCAATTGCGTCAGCAGTTGAAGGAATGGACTCGGCGCAAAAGTCTTCTCAAGGCCTCTAATGAAAAGATAATGAATGTGGAATTGGAACTACGCCGGGCTGTGTATAGTAACTCGCTGCTGTCGGAGAGGAATTTTGTTTTCTCTCTTGCTCTGATTGCCAGGGCACGTCTGGGACAAAACACAGGAATTGAAATTGTGGATGTGGTCACGGGCCTTGGGACATGTGTCTCGCTCACCGCCGCTCAGGAGGCGGAGTTGAAAGAAACCCTCTCCTACCCGCTTGGAATCACTCTGCTGACCGTCGGTAGCGTCGGTTGGGTGATGTTGGAAGCACGTGCCTTTTGGTTGAAGCGGGTGCGGAAGTCATTGGCTTCTTTGCAGCGTCCGCCTGACGTGGGCGGCCATCCGCGTAGGCAAGTTTCTTTTGTGCGTCTCTGTCTCCGAGTGAACTTGCTGCTGGAGGCGATGGTCCCGTTAGTAGTCCCATCATTTCTTCTTTACACTGCAGTTAACAACAAAAAAGGGGAGGTTTCTCTCTATTCCATTCTTCTTTTTTCAAGGCCGGCACAACGGCTTGCAATGTTTGGGGTGGCAGTTGCGTTCTGCATCCTGAGCATCATCGTGTCGTCACTGGTGGGTGCGCTGTACAGGTATGCGTCGGCCTCGTCGCCGCGGCGGAAGGTGAAAAATAATTGAAGAAGAAGAAGAAAAGAAAAAAATAATCATAATGAGGAAAAGACAACAAAAAAAAAAAAGGAAGTGAGTTGGAGCGATGATGCGCCATCAACACGGTTTCTTGTGTGGATTGGGAGGGGGAGGAAAATTCCGTGTGTGTGGGCAGGTGCGACACCCCATTTTGTTTCTGTTTTTTTATTGGTTTTTGTTTTTGTTTCTTGTGGTAAATTCACAAACGGTGGAGGCGTATCGATTCCACATTTTGAGAAAAGAAGGGGCGTTTTTGATTCATCTCTCTCTCTCTCTATATATATATATATATATATATATTCCATCCATTTGTTTATCCCCTCTTCCTTACTGTGCGGAGGGAAGCAGAGATGAACAGATTTCTTTTTTTTCTTAAAAGAAAAAAAGGGAGGAGTGCAAACAAATGGGTGTAAATGGAAGAATGTAATGTTTGAGGAATTTTGACTGCCTTGTCTTGTTTCCTTTTGCTTTGCTCGTTTGTCGTTATTCCTGCTGTTGTATTAATAGTGAGTGCCGCGAGGGGTTGCGCTGCATGCGTGCCTCGTGGGTCCTGACAGATGTGCTCTCCATACCGCTCAGTAGAAGTTGCATCAATGTGGCACGAGCGACGTACTCAAGTAGGCATGCACGGCAGATGGAGCGTCTTTTTGGTCCAGCGTGGCATCACGCCGATTTCTCGCGGACGGCGGTGGGAAAAGTGACGGGCACAGTCCGCGATCATCTGCGCACATCATTGGGGCCAAAGAAGAACGCCGAGTTGCGCACAAAGGCGGTAGAGTTGGGGCTTGTCTCAGACGAGCATGACACGCCTTCTGTGGAATTCGGCGGTGAGGGCAGTTCATCGTCAAGTGACCCGCTGCTCGAGTTTTTGGAGAAGAACGAAGACGAGGCCGCCCTTTTGCTTGCCATGTGGACCTCGCTGCGTCGCAGCTGCTTGCATGCCTCGGAAATATCAGAGTCCATCTCGCTCACTGCAAGGTGGTTTTTGCACCATCTCATCCGTATGCGCGCCATTGCAGCCGCGGCGCATTTTTACCAGCGACTTTTGGCGTTGGGGTTGCAATTGCAGAAGTGGGACGTCGTTCTGCTGCTGAGTAATTTGCCCTACGATCGTTGCACAACCGTGGCAGCGTCCCAATCCGATGAGTGGTTGCGGGAAAAACGCCTGTCGCAGTGGGCAGCGAGACGGGAGCGTGAAAGGAGAAAAGGAGGTGAGGAAATCAAAGCGAAACCCAAAAAAGAAGCAAATAATGCGGGATACGAGAAACTGGGAGATGAAGCGGGGGAGCGTCGTGGCCCGGAGGCGGGTGCCGCCGCGTCGATTAGTGCCTTTTCGCCACCACCCACGAATTCAGCGCACGCGGACGCCCCCAGCAGGGATTCGGGCGAGACGGTTAAAAACGCACTGGGAACTGTGAAGAAAACGCCCTTGCGGCAGCCCGATTGGGTCAGGCGGTGGCTTCTCTACGAGGCTTCCATGGGAAATATTGAATTCTCCGATGGCGAGGAGTGTTTGCCTGCCACGCGTACTGAAAAGTTGGATGAATTTTGTTGTACTGACGCCTTGGGGGCTCATGAAGAATTGCTGCAGGATTCGTTGGAAGCAAATTGTCTGATGGGATTGACGGCTCAATTGAAACATCTTATGGTGCTGCAAGATGCCGGGATTTTTCTCGAGACAAAAAAAAAGAGGGACTCACAGAAGTCTGCCACCAACGTCTGGAGATGTACACCCGCCAGGAGGCATCGTCGCTACTGGGCGGAGGCACTTCATATTGCAAGCATTTACATGGAGTCAATGCCAGCAACAAAACATGTCACTTCGCTTCCCGATGAACTTTGTGATGTCATACGGCGGGCGGTGATGTGCTCTGGATCTTGGAAAGTGTGTCTCCATTACCTCGAGGCGAATCAGCGGCACAAGATCAAGTTGAGTAGGAATGATTATGCAAAATTTGTGTTGATGGCTGTTGAGGAAGAGCCATGGCGAAAAAATCCTTCAATTGAACAGTATATGCTGCATCATTTTATTCCGCATTTTTCGGATTTAACGGCAGCCAGCTATGCAGTTCAGGCTATTTGGCTGTCATATGCATGCTCCGTCAAGCTGGATCGACCAGAGAGCTACGTGGAATTGATTGGAACTCGTGCAATGAATCTCCCTTCGGCAATAAAGGGGGCCATTATGTTTGCCAAACTTGCGGTATCACATCTGCACATTGAAGTGGAACGATACCGCACAGAAGCTGCAGCTGAACAGTTACTCGCCACCTCAATTCGACTGGGTTTGTTTTCACATGTTGGTGAGTCCATATCAGAGAATGCCCCTTCTTCTTTGACGGAGCCAACCGAAAGACCCGCATCTGCTCCTCTCACTGGTGTAATTCTTCCAGAGTGGCTGAGAGATTCTTTCCTGTTGGTCTGTATTTGTCTTCCCCGAGTTCTTGCTTTGGCACCTATTCTTGTGGTTTCACAAGACGATGCGGTTCAAATTAATTCCTTTCTGCTGGATGCATTGTACAGTCGTATTGGTGTATGGGGAATATTTTCCAGATTGTACTTGGTGGAACCCGTTGCCCCTGCACGTCGAACCCAAGAGACGTCATTCATGGCCGCTTCAATGGCCTTATGTGTTCTTCGTGTTGCATTGGCGTTGTGTATGGCTCACGGCGAGTTCTCATTACAAAACCGAGGTGTCGATTTGTTCACACCAAAGCAACTAAAGCTTTTTTTAGGCATGGGATTGGAGGCTTTGAGTGCCATTTCTTCCCATGCATCTGGCAGCGCGGAGTTGCGATCCCTCATGTTGATTTTAGTGCGGACTGCCTCCCGGTTGACAACGGAAGTGTGCCGCTTCTTCAGCCTTAACCCCGGTAGTGAGAGAGTTTTGTTTGGTGTCACCTCTGAGGAAACGGTGGGGTCTCTCAGCCTTATGGTTCAGATCCTCCTGCTTCTGCACGTGTATACTCCTGGGCGGCGGTTTCCAGTGGCCACACAATTTCGCCTTCGGTCCCTCCTTCGACCCAACAGTGGATTGGGAAAACAGGTCCGACGCTCCCTGCGGCAAAAGGAAGCACGTCAATTGGATGCTCTTCTCTGCAAGCGAGGTCGAGGGAAAGCCCGTAATAGTGATGTTTCCCCCAAAGCACAGCGTCTCCGGGTCTTTTCTCCTGAGGATGTCGCAAGGATTGACGCAACAGCAAAGATGCATAAATTGGTTTATTTAGCCGCTATAAGTCATGAAAATGATATCACTGCCATTGAGGATGTGCTCATCTCCCGTCTTCAATCAATGCAATCGGACGATGCCTTTTTACTGCTGCGTGTCGCCCTCCATCAACTGCGTTTGCGTCCTGGAACCTTTGGGATGCCTTTTTTTGTAAAGGTATTGCAGCGTCTTTGCATCGGCGCGACAAGTGAAGCTCAAGGGAAATCCTTATGGTTGAGGGCCATCTCGGTGTATTGGGATGCCGTGGAGCACACCGCATGTCATTCCATTTCTCTTAATGGAGCACAAGTCAACAAGAATCAGAGTTTTCGAAATTACGAGAGAGATGTTTTGTCGGCGCTTCTTTTGCCAATGTTGCAGCTTAGTATGGCGATGAAGAGAAGAGACATGGGGTGGGTTTGGTTGAATCACTGGGTTTCTCTGCACACACCTGCAGAACGTGACACGTGTTGGGCCATGCGTAACGTCCAAGCAAGGTCGACCCTTCTTGACAGGCGTGCGCTGCACATGTCTCTTAAACTCATCTTGAACGCACAGCGGAGGGAGGCAGTGGAGGAACCTTCCGCAGAATTAACACCAGCCCCGTTCATATCTCTCCATTGTGAAGTTGCCGTGAGACACGCAAATTGGCGAGTAGCCTTGGATATTTTGCTTCAACCCTTTGTTCACTCTTTAAACTGTGGAAGTTCCGTTACACCACTGCCAAATATCGTTGCTGGTTCGGCGTTGCGTATTCTCTGTCGTGCCCCTACAAACATGTCTAACACCGCTCTGCGGCTGCGGGAGATTCAGGGCGACCAGTGGGATCTTCAAAGTGCCAATGCGCTTCTGTTGTTGCTTGTGCGTCAAAGACGGTGGAAATTTGCTCTTCAGCATGTTAAGGAGATGCTTCCGGCGTTGGACAGGGCGAGCAACACGCCGGCAGGGAGCACCGCCACCGGCAGCAGTAGTATTAGAACGAAGAAGAGTGAAGAACAGCTGAAGATAAACCAGGCATTTTTTCTCCTTTACGGTCTACGGGCGTGTGCCATAGGTGGATGCGGGGAGGAGGCCGCAGAGTTGTACGACCGTGTCAAGGTGTTGCTCACGGAAACGCGGCCTGACACTGCGTTGAAGAATACGGTTACCCACGACCGTGGAAAGCATCTGGAAGAGTTGCTCTTTGCTTCCTTTGAGCCTGATGAAGTAGCGACAACTGTGTCTTCTGCAGGTGATGGAAATGATCAGCTGCGCATTGTTTCGGGCCAAGCGCGCCGTTACTTTCTTCGCGCCATGACGAAGAAGTGTTTGTTCTCGCAAGGACTTCATAAATAACACGTACTGTGGTCGGTAATTGTTGGATTTCCTTTAACTTATGTGTGTAGTTGTTGTGATTGTTGTTGTTGTTGTTGTCGTTCATTTCTTGTGTGGTTGTTTGTGTCTGTTTAATTTATTTTTATTTTATTTTTTTTTTGTCTCCCCACCGCCTGACTGCACGGAGGTGGGGGGGGGAAGGAAGAGGGATTTTTCTATTTTGTCCCCCTCCGTGGTCAATAGCCACTGCACTGCGGCAGACAGAGTCGCGGAATTATTGACAATTAAATGCAAAGAAAACTGACTTTTATTATTATTATTATTATTATTGTTGCTGCACTCTTTTTTGTTGTTGTTGTTGTTGCTAAAATTTCTTCCCAATCTATTTTTATCGTGAACACACACACACACACATGTTGCTCAGAGTCTCAGCGGGAGGGGCGTGGGAGGGATCGCTCGGCACCCCAGCTGCCTGCGGCGTCCAATTACACTCGGCAGCGAAACGGTGGCGCAGGGCTTTAGAAGACGAGGGAGACGGCGGGGGAAGAGGGAGAACAGAACGCGGTCCAAAGGGCAGAGATTGAGTAAAATCAAATAAAAGGAGCGGAATTCGAGGAAAATAGGCGGTGACGCGCTCAATGGCTCACTCACTGACTTGGAAGCTCCTCAGTCCCGAGCAGACGCACGAGTGTCTCACGGCGCCTGATGTGCCATCTATTCGCTCCGTATTGAAGAAAATTGACGAAGCCTGCGATGGAAAACTCATTGGTGCGGCAAAATACAACGAAGGGAAAGTAATGATCGTTCTGGATATGCTTGCCCATCTTATTCTTTTCTGTAAGTCACGTAGCATGTCACCAGAGAAGGTCAGTACTCTTGTTGGAATTGTAATTAAGATTCATGAGGAAAGCATGTCAGGTGGATACACACGCGCCAAGTCTTATCATCTGATGCGGGATCTCATGATAAAGCACAGCGTCCCGCGACCACCATTTTCCTGTGGTGTTTTTACTGTACGGGACGCACAGGAAATTGATGAGTACATGTTGCGGTCATATTATCGCCACTACAAAATGTATTTTTATGCCTTTGTGCCACGACAGGTGATGAATGTCCGCTGCCTAGATGTAACTCACATTCATCAGGTACCGCCAGTTGGACTGCCATCGCTGTCCACTGCCGTTGTCGAGAGTGAGTGGCGGACCAAAGTGGAGGAGCAGCGGCGCGAGGCCGAGGAACAGGCCATGCAAGAGGGGGAGATTGCCTCGGATGCATACGAGGAAGAGAGAATGCGGAATCGGTTACTTGCTGATCCCCATTATAGTGATGGCATTCGGGAACAACTTGAGTGCATCAAGAAGGAAGTATCCTCCAAAGCTGTTGGCCGCCTGGACGAGATTGAGATGAGGCTGCAGGAGATTGAGAAGAAAGTGGCGGAATCCTTTGCGCGGTCAGATTCCAAACAAGGAAGGCGCAAGAAATAAAGCGTTCCGCGTGTTTTGGAGTTTGGTGGTATAATGTACAGAAAACAAGAAGAATATTGTTGTTTTTTTTTTTTCCTCTTCTTTTCTTTTTCATAAATAAATTGAGTGGAGAAAAAGCAGGATTATTCTTTACGTGCATGTACGTTTGAATGGAGGTATAAATTTTTTTTCTTTTGTTTGTTTGTTTTTGTTGTTGTTGTTATCATTTTTAATTTAGAGGAACGTTGGCAACGTGGATCGTCATGCTGAAGCGCGGGTGTTGCCATGTTGCCCTGGGGGCCGTGTGGGAAGTCACTTCACTGTTAATTTCAAGGCGAAGTCATGCCGCGACAGCCCCGCAATCGGGTGCAAATTTTAATCCACGCCGCGTACGACTTGTTTCTTCTACGTCAACACTCGGCGCAGGTGCGGAGTCGTTGCCCGTGGATGTGAACCCTTTGTCGTCCGATCCAAACGATCCCTACAGGCATGTCTGCATCTACCGCAAGGACATGGTATCAGACGTTGGTGGTCGCGCATTTCAACTTAGTGTGGATGTGCCGCTGAAAAAATTTGTGGATCTTTTTAGCGATTTTGATGCCAAACGGTGCAAACTGTGCAACGAAAGTTACATGCAGTGGCACAGTCACAGTGGAGTTATTCCTCATTCAGGTCGGGAGGCGCTGATGCTGGAGATGGTGCGTGCATATTGTGGGACACCTGAAGAAATTGCAAAGATGTGGTGGCACCGCCCTCATACCTCTCCGGTTTTTAACCGCATTCCCTCCCTGAGCCATGAGAACAGTCATATTCGTAAACGTCGGCTGCAGTACTTACTTCAATTTTTAAAGGAACGAGATGTCATTCGGGACACCTTTAATGTGCAGCAGAGCGCTGGAGGTGCTGGTCGTTCATGGGAATTTGAACGCCTTGAGTGGATTGGGGACAACGTGGTGAAGTATGTTTTCAATGATCGTTTTAATGTCATTTTTCCGGTGCGCGAGGGTGGGATCCGTGGTCGACTGGGCTACGCTCAATTCATGATTGACGGCAATGACGGGCTGGCAAGGGCATATGACCATCTTGAGCTGCAGAAGTTCACACTGAGCGATCGCGTTGTAAGCAAATTCAAGAGTGATGTGGTGGAGACGCTTTTTGGGGAGCTGCAGTTATTCTTGTGGTCTTCAGAGACAGACGTTGGTACCACGTACTTTGAGTTGCCCTTTACGCCGGAGATGTTTTCTCTTAGGGCACTTGTGTGGCATGTGATGGAAGAGCTGGCGCACGTCATGTTCATGTATCACGTTGAGCACATTCTTGGTGCGATTCAGCGCATTGTCCGGGAGCATCAGCTGCAGTTCATCCGCGCCGATCCGTCGCTCCGCGGCCACACGGACCTTCAGAATGAGCTGGCGAGCACTCTGTACGCCAAGAAGAGTTTGACAGGATCAGGAAAACTGACACCGACGAAGACGTCCCCTAGTTTGCGATTCAAAGACGGCTTTGCCGCGTTGTACCATGAGTCATCGAATTACGACGGGTTCAAACGTGTGTACGCACTTGGTGGTCTTTTGCCACGCCCCTTTTCTCGCGATGAGTTGTCAGCGACACCATCATTCCTGCCGCACCTGCAGGAGGATGGAGTGATGGCCAGTCGGGTGCCGTCAGACTGGTGGTCAAAGCTGATGGACACGACTGAGGAGGACGCGGCGGTACGACAAGTTGTGGTTTCTACTTTATCACCATCATCTTTGCATGCCGCCGTGACACCGACACCACATCCGCGCTCGGACGCTGCAGTGACACCACATCTAAGCGTGCCGGAACTCAAAGACAACCTGTTGGTGGCGGAACTGGTGTAAATGGAGGGGGTGGGGAAGAGCATCCGTTGTGGAAACTGCTTTTTATTTGTGTGTGCGTGGGTATGAGTGAAAGAGAGGAGGAGGATTTTACATCTGCAGCTGTTTTTTGTTAAGGCTGGGCATTTGTTTTTTTTTTTTTTTTTGCTGGTAATAATGACGGTAAATTCTTGCCGGCTGTCTCCTTTTCTCTCATTTCTTGACTTTTTCATTGTCGCTGCTTTTTTTTTTACCCATGTCTCTTCCCGTACACGAAATGACACGTTGAGGCTGGGAGAGAGAGAGAGAGAGAGGCGTGCAACGTTCACGAGGCGGTGGATAGAGTGCACAGTGAGTGAGCCTCGAGAGTGGTGCTGCCTCCCCAGTGTGAGTGGGTTTTTGTGCGTTTACCGTTGTTAGAAACATTGCCATGTCTCGGAGCCAAAATCAGGACGGAGAGGAGGCGACTGGCCGCGTTTCCCCGCGTGCTGTTCTGAGGACAAAAACGGCGTTTCAAATCTACAAGGACGATGGCGCACAAGGGAATGCCAGTGACTTCAGTACGCTTCCCAATGACGAGGTGCTGCCGTACAAGATACAAGCCGACGAAATGACTCTGATGGGGGCCCTTGAAATTGTCGAGGCAGACCCCGCGGACCGAAGGATGTATGGACCCGCCACCCTGCACCTGGTGGTTAACTACTTGTCCGACATTCTCTCCTTTATCCCACTGGGGGGCCGTTCGCACGAGTTGCCGACAGTCGCCATAAACTACAACGCCCTTCAGCGTGTCGTGGCCCTGTACGGGGTCCCAGAATCGGTGAAGGACGCACTCGTGCAGCTCGCCGCAACAAATCTCAGCGCCTCCGAGGTGCCTATTCGTGACATTTCATCATTGCTGGACAAATTTAGCGACACTGAAAAGGCCCTGCGGCATGAAATGCGTGACGCGGGGGAAAAGGTTGGGATATTTACAAGATCCACCGTCCCTGCCTCGACGTTGGCGTCAACAGGCGAGACGACCATCAATGATGTTGTCGCCCCTGCAGCGACCTCACAGAAACTCCCGCGGAAGCGCCGGGCCTCCTCGCGGGATGAAATATTGCCCGCAAGAAAAACAGAGGAGGCCGACACGGCGCCACAAATTAAGGTGATGAAAATGGAAGGGCATGAGAAGGCACCCAGTAATGCGAAGAATAACAATTCGCAGTTCACATTGCAGCGACTGATGTATGGCCGCCTGCGGACGCTGACAAGTCAAGAGAAGAAGGTTGTCACACTCCTGAATCAAATGACTCAGGTTCTTGGTCAGGTTTATGCGGTACGGTACAATAACCTGCTGCCTATATTTGAACTTCTTGAAAATAGGGTGAAACAGGCACAAGAAATCATCGATGTGGAGCGTGCCAACATTCAGTCTAAATCCGAAAACACCGAGTTATCGCCTGAGCCGTTTTTGGAAGTGAAACTGGATGGCATTTTGCGGGCGATTCAAAATGCTTCTTATCAGTTTAAAACCGATGAGGAATGCCGCTATGAATTGGATGAGGATTTACTTCACCCCATTGCACACGCCTGCATGACAGAAGTTAACCGCATTGAGGGATTCACCACGGTGCCTTTTGAGGGTCCATCCAACCAGACAATTAAAGCCAAGGCCAAGGCACGCGAAGCCGCGCGAGCAAAGCGGGAGGAGCAACGTGCAAAGGCTCTTGAGCGGGCAAAGGCTAGGGAAGAATTACAAGCAAAGAGAGAGGAGGAGCGAAAGCTACTACGTGCCCACCTGGGTGAATTGGACCCGACGAGCCTCGTGGAGGACATGAGTATCAAAAACCCCATTCA